CATAAACCCAGTGTACTTGTTATAGTTCCCTGAGAAACTGTTGAGCGTCTTGGGAGTTATTCTTCAGGCCAGTATCCCTCCTGTTTTTAAAAATGAACACATACTCTGTCCCTGGTCCTCCCAGCTGTCTTATGTGTCAACAGTGAACTGTAGAAACTCAAAAACATGATGTCTGGTAAGTTGTGATTTCCAAATCAACTCTAGTTTTCTTATATGAGGTTGTAGGCCTTCGCTTTTTTGCATTTCAAGATACTGTAGTTGTGTTAAAAATGAGAAACTTATTTTTTTAAAGAAACTTTAAATTGCTGGCTTAAAGTCTAAACTTTTACTGTGCACATCATACTGCAGCGCATTGAGATAGGATGCCTGGTGGCAGATTTCTTTTTGTAGAACCTACCTACCGTACCTTCTCAGGTGAACTGACCTAGCTTAACGCATGCTCCTGAGGAACAGATGGAGGTTGATCGCATGCTAGATCCTCTACATTTGTTTTTTTCTGGATGCTGTTTTCATTTGTATGCATGAAAAAAATGGAAGTGCTTTCTTTTGCTCCCACTAATGTAGAGAAATGAAATATATCATGAGGTTTCCTTACAATATTTCTACAATGCACTTTTAAAATCTGCAACCTTGACGAGAAGTGATGTATATATTCAGTTATATATTCTACACCAGATGCTTTTTCTTGCATAGAACGAGCGAGTGTGCGAGGCTCGAGCAGAGAGATGAGTGTGAGGCGCGCCACACTTAAATCTCTTCTGAACGTGCCGACACTTGAGCTTGAAAACTGGTACATTGCTACCACTGGATAACCGTAGTTGTATCCTGTAGAAATTTTGTAATTATGGCTTCAACAAATTATAAATGTACTGGTGACACTTTTGATAACCCCACCCAATACAGCCATCTGTCTGTTGTTTCTAAATGCTTTTAGTGTTGAAACATGATCATGCTTAACGTCACATCAATAAATTGTCATGCACACATTCATAAAGCTGCTGTGAATGATTCATAGTTACTTATTAATATCATAATTTTATAAACTGTAAATCATTACAGCTTTGTTAGTTCTGGTTACACATGTAAACAGAACAAAACATTTAAATGAGTGATATTAACATGTTCAGCACTGAGTTTACACAGTGTTGCTTTATATACAGAGACCCAAAGTGTTCAGAATTACGTAAATAAGTAAATACATATGGCATTGTGGAATAAATAATCATATGAATCATGAATAAAAACAGACATGTACATGTGATGTGACTATGAAATAAGGTGCGAAATAACCACAAAACTCAGCATATTATTTGGAATTTTCACAATAAAAGTCTATAAAGTATGGAAATATGTTGGAAAACCAATATGAATGATATGGGCTGGAATTATTTATTATTATATAACATGTTTGCAGTACTTCCCAGCAGTATATAATGATAAGAAAAAAAGACTGATGGAAAAAACACACATAAAAAATAATTAATTCGAGATCAGTTTCCTTTTGTTAAATTTGCCATTATGAGTCGATTAGCTTCGTAGCTACTGTAACTAGCAGTAGCTCCTCCTGCAACACAATGTACTGTTGCACGGGGGTGTAAATCACAAGTTTAACCATGATGTGATATCAGTTATTTAAATGACAATACAATATTTGCTGATGTCACAATGTCTGCCATGATACGATTTCAATTCAGTTTAACTCAAGGGCCATGGACTAATATGACACATTATCAATAAATATTTGCATTGTCTTTCTCTTGGCTGCTTACCATTATCCACCTACCGCTAGTCCGCTAGTGATAGCATTGTTTCTATGTTTAGGAATAAGGTGTGCTGGTACAGAAATGGTGACACAGACGTGCCATGAGAATTTCAAAGTAAAGGCATATCTAAAAGATTATGATGTGTATCTGTGTTTTCACTTTGCAGCATTGATACTGGATTGGTGATCACTGAATCAATATATCTATCCAGACTGAAGTATTATTACACCCATACATGTTTCAACAATCCGACTTTTAGTTTGTAGTTTAGTGTTTAACGTCTCCTGACAGCCTGCAATCTGATACAATAACATTTTATAACTACCACTACTGTTGACAGCAGACAAGAGAAAATATTTTGCATATTGCATATTGCATAGATTTAAGATATTTTAGTATCTTCTATGGCGTTCTTTAAAATGTATTCATTTATTTAGAGGAAATACCTGTATTTATGTAATAAATTTTGAACACTTTGGATCTCCATATTCATGAAGCTTTGTGAGTGTGGGTTTAGTCTTCATGCATTAAATATCAGGTTCTCACAATATGAAGCCTTTATAAATTGTTATTAACGGCATCATTGGTTGGGGTTATCAAAGGTTTTCAGTACGTGCTGTGTACATTTCTTTCTTCACTCCTTTAATTCAACATGTGTACAAAGGCAGTTTGCTCTGGGTTATTTATCGATGCATCAGACGTGTATGAATAAAATGATATTTTGATGAATGAAGTTAGAAATTATATACTTTATATACAGTATGAATAACTTATTGAAACACCTACTATAATGCATATTACTATCCCTGTATAATCACAAAGAAAGCATTAGCACCTTTGAAACGTACAATATGAAAGTAATCTTTTAAAATAAACTGTTGTTATATATTCTACGCTCTTGTGTTTTTATTTTCCAAAAGAAAAACACTTGAACTGCAGTGTCTTGTTCTTTCGTAAAGAGGCCAAGTCTCAACAAAGGTGGAGTTTATTAAATTATCCAAACATCGTAAGTAAACAGTGCCACTGAGTATACTGTTATGACTCTATTCACATACACCTAAGCCACATTTGGATAAACGCATACATTACAAAAGTCAACTTAAAATATTCCTTTCAGGAAATCTAGGTAATGAAAACTACAGAATTGGCACAAACTTGTTTGCAAAAAGGCAACAGAGTAAAAACAGGTGAAGAACCTTTTTTTTTTTTTTGACATTTAGTTAAATGAAAAAAGAGAATACAACTCACAAAAGTACACTTGTACAATCCAAATGACTAAATGTCAACGTCTAGTGCACATGCTGACAGTAAAAAAGCCTTTTTGTGACAAATTGAACCGTAACGTTTTAATAACGTGGAGGAAAAAGAATGGAAGAGACCGAGCTGGAGGGAAAGCTGGAACAAAAAGACGATAAAGTGATCAGGAGGATGGGAGGGGTGTGGGGGGGACAAAAGGTGCTGAGAAATAAAATTAATTGCACAGAGTACCTGAAGACATTTATGACTAAACATTATTAAGCAAGACGACAAGTTTATGACCCGCCCACTGACGATGAAGAGCAGAGACAGTGATTACAGACCAGGGTTTGACACTACACATTTGGTTTCTGACAAAATCACTTTTCATGGGAAGAACGGCAGAAACACAAGACTTGCATAGAGAGACCTTTGAGAATTCCCCGCTGCATAGACAACGCACACTGCAGCAGCTTATCAAGTAGTATCTGATGAAGATGAGAGGTCGAGATATGATAAAATCGAAGTTTTGCTCAGGGAAATCTAGGCACAGTGTTGTTAAAGGGGAGCACTGCTGAAATACAGATTTATTCTGTAACATGGATATTCATCTAAAGATTTTATGTGTCTGTAAAGACATTAACCTTCAAGGAAACACACTCCTATGGCACCTATGACCTTTCACACATGCACTGCAAACCTGAAATTATCTACACATGACCTGAATGAGCTCTACTGTATGCAAGAACGCAAAGGTCTGAATCAGTTGGATCGTACAATAAACAGACTTTATACTATCAGCTCCCTAGAAGTCTGTGTGATGTCCAACTGAGCCCATGCATGAATAGAGTAGGGAATCGTCTGGAGAATTCAGCGCGAGCAAGAGGGCATGTGGATGACACTTCCATCATGCCAGCTCATGAAAAACCAACAATGGCAACAAAAATATCTGGAAAATTGACGAGATTCAAGAACTTCTCTCAGTGAAGGCCTTAGCCAAAATCAGCAAAATACTTGTTTATGACCAAATTACCAACAGGCTATGTGACTGCGGTGTAATCCATGTTATGTCCTACCTCCTGTACCACTCTACCCAGGCACCATCCCTCGCCTAAACCAGTGGTTCCCAACTGGTCCAGCCACAGGGTCCAGAATTCTCCTAAGTCATCAGTTTGAGGTCCACACAGTTTAATATATTCAGCATCAAACTTGCATTTGGACATGTCCTTGAGCTAATTTGATGTCTCTGAAGTAGCTGTTCATTAAAAACTCACTCTACAACAGGAAACAGCACTTCAAATTTAAAGCTCTGTGCTGGAAATTCACTGTACTTCAATATAAGGCGGAACTTGTACTTCTGCGTTGAATCAACACCCCTAACTACGCTGCAGACTGCATCTATGTAGAGCCTACGGTGTACCCTACGCCAAAGCCTGACGTGCACCTCCCCAGATAAGTAACTACACATCGCAGCAACGCAGACCTCCTGTCTATTTTTGTAAACTGAAACCATTTCCCTCAGTGGAAACTTATTTACTTTAATTTCACAGTTAAGAAACAATAAAATGTGAAGACAATAAAGCCTCCACAAAAATAGCATTTTAACTCTTGTGTGTGATTTATCCTGGCATCATATGAGCAGAGGTAATCTCTGCTCATCGCTAGGTTAATTTATACAATGTAAAATGCCATAGGCTTGTGCTTGTAATGTTAGCATGTTTTATTTGTGTGGAAAACGTGTTTAGTATAAGACAGTTGTTTTGTTGGTGAACCTTATGAGTTGTAATTTTATAGTTACCTTTGTTACATGTTGCTGTTGTCCCTGGTTTTATATGAGAAGAGAGAAGTCCGCTAGCCACTAGGCTAATTTGTACAATGTAAAATGCCATAGGATTGTGCTAAAAACATTAGCATGCTATATTTGTGGGGAAAATGTGTATAGCAAAAGACAAATGTGTGTGAATGCTTTGAGTTATAGTGAAGCTGATTTATGTACTTGTGTTTGAAATAGTCTCTATTAAGCCATGTTTAATGTGTGTTTTAAATCAACTAAACTTTACAGCATTTCACAGAATTCCCGCCACTGACTAGTGTTTTAGAGGTGTATCTGCAGAGTGACACAGACATCTCATAAATGGTTGCATAGGCCATGTGCACAGGCTACAGCGTAGGGTCTGCCGCCCAGTATAAATCCCCCTTTCGGTGGGTTTTTTACCAAGTTGACATGTTTGAAAGTTGCTTGCGGTCCACTCAGAATGGACTATCAACCCACTGTTGGACCTTGACTCAGCAGTTGGGAACCACTGGTCTGAACCAAACGGAGTATTTCCAGAGGGTAAAATATCTGATACAATCTCCTGCTGGGTGCAACATGTGTGAAAGAGAAACTCCGGATCATGCCCGGACATAAATCTCCAGACAATGTCCAGAGTTCATTTGAGAAAAGCATTACCTGACTGATCCACAGTTTTTGATGTTCATCAGATATGCAGTAAAATACTCTCCTTTTGTTCTTTCAATTATTATTGTCAGAGGATTGTCCTCTCCTTGAATATGAGAGGTAATGACTCCAAAATCATCTAAATATGTAATACAGTATCGCTCAGAAAGTCTATTTTCAGCAGCGCTCCCCTTTAAAATATGCACCCAAAAGTGCACAACGGAGTGAAAGACAGATGTGCCGCTTGCCAAGGTCAACAAACTGGAATTACGTATTGTGCCACTGACCAGACTCTATTAGAGGCTGCCGATTCACCAATATTTGACAAACAACCACATAATATCTACACTGAATCTGTCCGGCACATTATGAACACACTGAGTAGATAAATGAGAAGAGTACAGAGTCTGCGGATTATAACCCAGCATGAGGTTATTCATAGTGACTCAACAGCAAAGGGCCAGTTCTACGTTCACTGTGGTTTTTGTGTTGAAGCTGAACAGGAGGTTTTGGTTGCAGTGAGCACCATGAATTTTTACATTCAGCACCGCACCACGGTCTGTTATTAGGTCACCTTACAGCTTTGATCATACAGCAGGTTTAAGAATAGATTTGGTTGTAGTTGCATATATTGCTTTAGACGTGAAAACAGTTCGGATGCATACATGAGTTAACTGACCTGTAAAATGTGGTAACAGGTGAGGCGGAAACATTCATTTTAACTTTTGGGTCACAGACTCAATCTGTCAGAGTGATAAAGGAAACAAACTGGACCGGCTGCAGCTGAGAGTTTAAGTTTAAGAACTATCTTGGAATTTGGGCGTATGAATGAAAGAAGTTCACGCACTTCTGATTTGATATCTTGGAATAAGCACTGCTTTGCTTATATTAGGCATTAATTATATGCAATAGTGTCGTCTCTTTATAGACTTAGGGCCACGTCAAGGGCTCAGCAGCACTGAAGTTGAATTTTAAGATATCACATTCAGTTGCTTATAGCTGGTGAATAAAAGTCCACTTGAACTGCATCAGCTGCAACATATGAACTTGTTTTTGTCAAAGTGCTTTCAGGGAAGGAAAATACTTCTATTTTGAAAACTCAGCCTGTTCACCTCAGAGAGTTTCTCATTAAAAGGGACAAACTTCACCTCCAGGTGGAACTAAAGCAGGTCTGAGCCATTACTCAACCTGTAATAATGTATTTTTAACTACAGTCGAGTTAACACCTGTTCACAGCCTTCTTGGTGCTCTCCTTCAGTCTGAACATACAGTATGTTGGTGATTTCTCTTTGTGTCCAACCAAAACATTTTAATTCTTAATGTTATTTCAATTTCCAGGGGATGAAAAACATTCTTTTGTATCTGAGAGCAAAATATAAAACCCACCAGCAGCACAGTAATTTCTTGTTGCAGTTGCAGAGCATCTCAGGGCTGGCAGTGAAGCCATTTCAATATACATTTATAAAATGTACCCCATTGAAAATACTGGCACAGCAGCTGAAGGCATAGAGGAGAAACAATGAGATTTGATATGTGACATTATTTTGTGTACAGAAGGGGAAATTGCACACGTCCCTCTGCACCTGCACTGTCAAGAAAATGTCTTTTCTTAAACACAAACACTGAAATATACATTTAAAGCATAACAAAACACAAATGCACAAAAAGCACATTGCTTTCCTTCTCTGACCAGTTTTCCTGGTTTGCTCCTGAATGACATCACAGTAAGGCGAGCAGCTGGTCTGAGAGGTTATCTCCATCGTTTTCACTGTGGCTGTTATTATAGTTGTCTGCCAGTCTTAGGGGGGGGAAAGACTTGCGGTTCTTTAAAAGGTTGTACGGTGGAGGAGGGGGCGGTCACTTCAGTTTAACTGCTCGACAGTCGATGGTAAAAGTAGATGTAGCCCAAGTCTTTTGGAGGCCTTTCTGACAAACAGACTTTGTGGTCGTTGTAGATCACCCACCTACAGGGAGAAAGAACATTTGAGTTTTGTTTTTTGCAGTATGAAATGCATTCAAAGTGTCATCTCTCTAAAACTGAGGACAGAAGAAATGTGTTGATTTAGTTTAATTCATTTTGACATTTCTGGTGGCAAAAACTTAATATTAAAACTGATAATAATAAATTAATTTCTTTAGAAAATTTATTTCCTGACATGAAAACACAAAAAGGTTAGAACTCCCTCGTAGTTATTGACAATATGCAGTCAGTTTTGTACCAAAATATACTGAGTAAACATAAAGAAGAGAATCTGTGTGCGTCTCACCTTCCCTCCTTTTTGATGTGACAAACATAATGTCCAGACATTGTGGATGCTCCCATGTGACTGATGAAAGCAAAGAGCTCATAACCTGAAAAAGGCAGGACATCCAGTCATGTATATAGCATATGTCATTAGATAACACAGCAGTCTTTCACAAATACTAAATGTCATACACTTAAACCATCTGTTAACACAGCCTGTTTAAATCAACAGCTTCAGTAGACAGACCAACGCGTTCTCATCCCAGGTAATCAAATTCCAACGCTTTCTACTCCCGCTTTTAGTGTGTGACACCAACGCCAGAGGCACCCTTCAGCTTCTCTGTGAGAAGCACCCTTCAACATCTGTATGTGATGCACAGCTGTCTCCTGGATGAAACTTTATACAATTTAAACATACAGTTGCAGTTTAGGCAACAAAACTACTTAGACAGAACATGCTTTGGGTTAAAAAACTATTATAACAACATGATGTAAATATGTCCCATCCATGAAGTCAGTTTTTGATGGACTGACAGACATAAGTCATGTAACGTTTTCACATGAAACACAAACAGCAGTGTCCCGGGTCAAAGTCTGTGTTTGTGTGACCCATCAACTCTACGTTGATTTACTAGCTCTATATACCAAAGACTGTATAATAATTATTTATTTATTATTTAACCCATTTTCAATCAGGTAAGTCCCGTTGAGATTAACTATCTCTTTTACAAAGGAGACCTGGCCAAGACAGTAGCACAGTCACAGCAAACAGTACACACGCAGTAAGGAAAAAAAAAAAAAAAAAAAAAAAAAAGAACGACAGACGACTCCCCAGAAGTGAAGTCAAAACATCTTAATCGCCCCCTGGTGGCTGGCTGCAGTACAGGTCATACAGCTCCCATCCTCCATGTTAGCAGATGGGACATGAGCCAAACTAAAAACTCAAAGTACACGTCAACTAATTTTTTCCAAAGATTGTTTCTGTCATTAATAGTTGTTCTTATCACTCAAACGGGAGTTTGTAGTGGGAATTCGACACCGCAGGGATCACTACTGTGCAGACTCTGGCTCCAGATTACATTCCAATTGCAAGATGGCAGTGGTTGTAACCTGGATACTTTGACGTATAGTCTACCTTTATATACAGTCTATGCTTTAAAATATGTCAGTTGCTCTGAGCGTCAAATACTGTCGTGAATGGGTTTGTACTGGAGTTGGCTATAAAGACTTTTTAAAGGCTCCACACAGGTGCAACACAGTATGAAAACAAAGAACAGGTGCTGATGGTAGTGTCTCTATGTTACAGGTCATGCATGGCATAAAAACATTTATAAATAATTCAATATTAGTTTTTTCAGAATAGAAAATAACTGGGTATTTCTTTATGTTTTGTTCCTGGTGCAAGAGCACACTGTTTACCATGAAGACCAGTAAACAAGGTCCTCTTATGACAAAGACAGTTCAGAATATGCTTCTGTGAGGAGAATTCATTGAAAAATTATGAAAAGCCAGGACGACTGCATTGCTAATGGAATTTTATGATTTACATTGATCATTTTGTGCTGTATTTGTTTAAACATTGTATGTGGATGCATTAGTACACTTTGTACATATCTTCTTTGTGAGGATTATTAAGAGTTAAAAAGCTCCTGAATCATGTTTTTGTGCCTAAAGTCAGTCTGGCAGAGCAGGTCAGCGCCACAGTACACTGTGTATCAGCGTCAGACATTAATTGGAGCTGAGAGTAAACTGGCCATTTGAGAGAACATAACATCCTGGTGAAATTAAAAATCAGGAGCTGGAAAACGCCCTCTGACACACTTGTGGACTCTGACCCCATTTTAATTTCATTATAATGCAGGTTTTTGTCTTGTAAATTAATATACTAATATGCTAAATGTTTCTGCTGGATCTCTGCCCCAATTACTGAGCTTAAGTTTGGCTCCATCTTTCATTGCAATCCTACTGATTCTACATCGACAAAGGTTAATAAAAGTCAGCCTCTCATAACTTGATGAACCTTTAGATAAGGATCAGTACCATATAAAGTCAAGACAGACACAGCAGCTTCAATCAGTCAAATCAGTCATGCAGAGTCACTCACGTCCCGGTCCGTCTTTGACCCGCGGGCCCGACGTGTCTCTGTCTGGGGACAGCGTGGAGTCACTGTGTGAGTTGGCGTTGGAGAAAGCGTTGTCGTTGGGCTCCGTGTCAGCCATGTCTGAAAGGGCGTCGCTCTCTTCCTCCTCCGGGTGGGTGAAGATCCAATCAAGTGCTCGTTCGAGGTTATTGTTCTGAAAGAACGTTTCAGGTTTAATACTTAAGTCCACTGTAACTCAAAACTAAAATGTTTATTATACAACAGTATTTTCATATTTGTAATGTGTCAGTTCTGGTAAATCAAATTTAGCCAGTTTATGGGGACTTATTATGCTCATAGTCAGGTTCATACTTGTATTTTTGATTTCTAATAGAACATGTTTATATGCTTTAATGTTCAAAAAACTTTTCCTCATACGGTCTGTGCTGGAACACCTGTATTCACCCTCTGTCCGTGACGCTTTATAACAGCACATCCGCTCCCAAAAAAGCCTAGTCTGCTCTGACTGGTCAGCATTTTTGGGTCTTCCTAACATGTAAAATCACCAATAAGAGCTTCTAAACCAAAATCATCAAATCAAGGAGAAATTTACATCAGCAACCAAGATCGCAGGTTTCCCTGATGTTAGCATGTAGCTACACGTAGCATTGTAGGCTACGTAAGGTAAACACATGCAGTAGCGTGCCTGGAGCAGATGACCATTATAAAGAAATCCGTCACGAGCTGATGTCAGCTTGTCGTGAAAGTAGAAAAAACAGCAGAAACAGAGTATTGAGTCAGCCTCACTCCGAAGTCGTCGAAAACTGGCACTTGGGCAGTGACTTGCAGTGTCAGAAACCAATGAAAAAGGCGTCCTTTAATGTCGGCAGCCAGTTGCTGTTATAGTTTAGCATTGCCTGATGGCGTCAAGGGGAAACACGGCCAGACAAGGACGAAGGTAAGGCAGAGAAAGAGAAAGTGTATCTTAAAAGGAGACAATGCATGTAGCAGGCAGAAATTGACACGGCGTCCCAGAACATCAACGACCAATGCACCCAGGGTACCTTGCACATGTGTGGATGTGGAAAGTCCATAACCAAAACGATAATATGTGACGTTGGAGTGAGAATGTGTTGGAGTATTCAGGAAGGCAGGAATCCTGAGGTTTCTGCTCACAGGGATAACGTTTACATACTTTCATCTCATTATTTGGTACCGTTTAATATGATCATCTGACACTGTAACATTGCATGTGACGGAAATAAAGGAAAACCATAATAAGTCCACTTTAGGAAAACCTTTGTATTTGCTCTTCTGAACATGTGGGACATCATCCTTTCCTTGCAAAATCCTCTGCTTCACAGAAACTGGGCATAAATGACTGATCACTGTCTTCTAACAGCTGTAACAGGAGCTTTCAGCACATAGAAGTCATATGACCGACAGATACAATGCATGTGAGGAAAAAAATCTGTGCTGAGGAGAAGAAAATATCATATTCTATCTTGTTTGCTCCCTCTGTCATTCCCTTGCTGTTGTATCTTTAGGCTGCTCCTTAAAAAAAACAGGAAATGTTGGGAACATAAGCAGTCATTTATTAGGGAGGTGTCAGGTATCGTTCCCCCTGAGGATGTTTGCTTTTAATCCAAAATAGAGGTGTGATTCCTGCAGAGCGTCTGTCCTGATTGGTGAATGCAGCTGCCTGCTTTTTTCTGCCTCTCCCAGTCAAGTCACCGAGGTTGAAAAAAAGTTCCTCCTCCTAATTTTGGACTAATAATAAACTGGGCTGTGAGACCCGTCTCTGCGTCACACCTCCATCGCCCTCATGAGGAATATGTGTTCCTTTTTTTTTTGTTTCTTCACTTCAGCAACATCATGGATGGCTGGGAGTTTGGCGGTATTTGAGGATGACAAACAAGGAGGCCTGGTGTCTATTTCTGTGGCTTAATAACAGTCTGCTGTGCTATTTTTGCTGAGGGGGCAGTTTGAAATATGAAACATGAAAGGTGAGAATCAGCAGCCATTTCAAAACAGGGGAGAAAATGAATTTGCTGCAGCTGCATTCCCTTCAGTTCACACCAAAAAAAAAAAAAAAAAAAAAAAATCAATACTTTTGTACTGTGTGTTTATGATTCATTTGTGAGACGTGATGATAAAATGGTTCAATGTGTCTTTGAGGCAGATCCTCTTCCTAAAGGCTGCATTAGTGTCCATATGCTGCGGGGACTATTTGTAAACACCACACAGAGCAGGCATCTTTAATCACTCGGACATGTAGGACCTATTATATTTGCAGTTTGGAAAGCGAACAAGTAGGCCAGCCAAGCCCATTTACGACTGACGGAACTTGGTTTTCTTCTCCTCGCCCCCTCTCTGACCTCTTTTCAAACAACACCTCACCTCATGCCAACCTCCTGCTTTGTCATGAACTAGTGGCGCTTTGGTTTCTATTGACCAGGACGGTCTCCGGCTGTGATCAAAATCATTCACTCATTAACTACACACGATCTAGGGAGTGCTATGTAGAGGACTATATCGTGACCTTGTCTGCAAAAAGAAAAAAACTTTTGGAGACTACTCAGGTCATTTTCTCTGCAGCATTAATGACATCATTGTTGTTGCACAATCAAAACATGCCGGATCGTCGGCTTTGGAGCACCCATAATAAATACTAATATACATTTTTGTGCTGAATTCATATTATACAGTAGAATCTATGTGAAGATGGACGACATGACAGCTCCATAAAAGTGAAGCCAAAAGATCTTGTAGCCCCCTGGTGGCTGGCTGCAGTATAAACCCTGCCCCCTCCATGTTAGCGGATGGGACATGGACCAAACGAAACAATCAATTCTGTCATTTTAGGTAGTTCTTAACACCCTACAGTTTATTCAAGTGTTCGTTTTTCTAATGACTATGGTTTTAATCATCCATTTGCTGCTATAAAATGGGAGTTTGACATCATGATTGACAGCTAGGTGTGCCAATCGGTATGCATCCAATCTATGGTGCTGCTCACGATAGGTCGGATGGGTGTATAGGCAGGAACTAGACTCATAGAGATCGCTACAGTGCCAACTCCGGCTCCAAATGACGTCACCAGCGCGAGATGACAACAAGGTGACAGCCATATCCTGCATATTTTGGCTTCATTTCTGTACAGTGAGAGGAAGTGGAGACATGTCATCCATCTCTATATAGTCATCGTATTGTGCTGAGTGTATTTTCCAGAATTAATGAATACAAAGTACCGTTTGTGTTGTGATGAGCTGCTCACATGAAACATAATTTTCTTAATAATACTTTTTATAAACCAGCTTTCAGAGCTCTGTGGAAATGTCAATATTTGTACGACAGGTTGCACTCACGCTGCTCTCTCCATTTTTCCTTCAGTGCAATGCATGATGGTCAAGGGTGTAACAGTATGTGTATTCATCCTGAACCATTTAGTACAGAACATTTGGGTTGGTATGTGACTTCCTTGGTACGGTGCGCCCTGTGACCCAATGTATTGTGGGACACTTTGAGTCCACTATATAGGTTATAATAATTCTCACCGCACATCTGAGCAGCACCACAACATGTCAGACTCACTATACAGTGGAGTATAAACTGAGTAGTGAGTGATTTCGGACAGTCTTCCTGTCTTTCCTCTGGTGTCAGGCAGTCGTTGCTGTGGTGTTTTTACACATATCAAAGTGTGTGGGTGGTTCTTTGTCCTCAGATTTTCACTGACTTTGTAACTCTTTATTGTCTCTGTGAGTCACAGACTGAGGAATGAGCGCCACCTACAGAAGTCTGGCTCTCTAGATGTGCTGCTGTTTTCTTATTCAGCTCAGTCATGAGGCATCAATGCTCACTTCACTTCCCCTTTCTGGTCATTCAAAACAAATCACTGTTACCACAAACCCAATGCATGACTTTGTGTGCAGCAGAGGATTTTAGTCACAGGAAAAGACCTGTGTTGTTTACAGCAGACTTACACACAGACATATTTTACCATTCTTTGACTTTCTACGGACCAAACAACTAATCAACTAATTGAAAAAATAATCAACAGATTATTCAATAATAAAAAAATGTTAGTTGCAGCTCTAGCTGGCTGAAACAAATTATTAGAATCAAAAAGAAGCCAGGAAAATAAATAAATATTAATACTACACAAGTGCAAACAAGAACAGAGTGGGCAGAAGACTGACCGTGGCTTTGAGTGCCTGGATGCTGTGAGCGCGGGGGAAGCCCATTGAAGTGAGAATGGCGATGCTCTCCTCAGGGGGCGAGTTGGCCAGCGGGGTGGCGCCCATGGGGCTATCGCTGGTGGAGGGACCGGGATCCATCATGGAGGGCAGAGTGAGCGGTTCTGCAAAGTCTGAGAAAGGAGAGAAAGAGAATAATAATGAGATGCTGTAGCTCTACATTTATTTTTAACCAAATCTATGATTAGATTAATGTTGGAGGTCAAAGTTAGCTGATTCTAGACATCTGTTTGCTCTTTTGCTGTGGCAGATAAAGTTATAATTCACATACAGAGCAGAGAAGTGCAGTTTGAAGTTGTACTGTTAATCCTTTTCACAAAGTTCATGAATCTGTATATCCGACTAAGGGTGATTAAGTTACAAAACATCTGGGAAGGTGAAACACATCCCTGATATCACTGCTGTTCAGAGGAATGCATACAGGAGGAACATTACACAAATCTAAATGAATTCATAAAACTTCCTTTACATTCTGAACACTGAAAAACTATTTGTAAACATTTACAGCCTCTGCATGAAACACATTTAAGAACAAATTCTTTGTCATTTTCCAAGTGAACTGCAATGCAGATTCAAATGAAAGTGAAGTGACCCTCAACCCGGGAACAAGGACACTCCTGCTATAATTACTTGACTGCTGGTCATAAACAGAGCTTTCATTACCGTCCTTGCCATAAATGAAAATGTGTACCACTTATCTCCCACTCCTGTCTCTATCTCAGCCTCCTTGTCTTGTGTCCTTTAGATTACCCATAATACAGCTGTTTTTATGCGACGGGAATAAGGCTGTCTAGCAGGCAGAGAAATACAAGATGTAACTGAAGAGCTCATGTTTGCACGTTAAAGGAGCAGTGTGTTAGATTTAGGGGGATATAGTGACATCTAGTGGTGAGGACTGCAGATTGCAACCAGCTAAGACTCCTCCTGGTTAGAATTCCTTTACTGTTCATTTTTCAGGAGGTTTTTACTGAGCGCTCTTCCTCTTGAAACAAACAGACCCAGTGATTAAGGGTGATTCACACCTGCCCTCTTTGGTTCAGTTCAATCAACTCAAGTTCGTTTGCCCCCTAAGTGCGGTTCATTTGGGCAGGTGTGAACACAGCAATGGCACGCAGGTGTGCACCAAAACAACCGGACCAAGACCTTCTTGAAGAGCTGGTCTAGGTCTGATTACAAATGAACTCTGGTGCGGTTCGTTTGTGGTGAGAAAGTGTTCTGACCTCGGGCCAAACCAACTGCAGTCACATTGCACATTGTTTGGGTTAAACATGAGCATGTTACAGTCCTGGAGGATTATTAATGTGCACCTCCTCCTGTACTGCCTTAATATGCACATTCAGCACATCCAATGCATCAAAAAATTGTTTTCTAGTTGGAGCCGTGCCTCGTTTTCAAACTGTATGGTTTGACTAAAATGAACAATGACAGCAATACAGTCCACGATGACCAGAGCTAAAATCAACCTGCGTAGTTGTCCCTCCATTGTGACATTAGAAAGTGTTACATTTATCTTGCAAGTGTACTCTTCTTCAATGTTTTGTTTACTTCCTGGATTTTTCCCTCATGGAAATTCTGACCAATCAAGAGCAGCTTTCTTGCACAAGGCATTTTATCTGGTCCGCTTGTAAATGCTGACGTGAGAACACAAATCAACTCTAGGCAATTATTCAACTGTGTAACTAAATTAGTCCCTGATTTGGATCAAAGCAAGCGAACTCTGCTTCTGAAGGCACCCTTAAACCGGTAAAAACACTGAATAAATCACTTTCAGGTTACAAATCAGTGTTTCTCCAGCAATGTTTAGCATGTTGGAGATGGGCTGCTAACCTAGCACCTGCCAATCTGTGTTCACCATCTTTCCCTGATAACTTAAGATCCAGATGTTCAGGAGGCTTTTAACGGAAGCCAAATTTTCCACAGAGGTCTCTTCCTCTCCAAAACAAACAGACCCGGTGATTTAAACAGGTCGAAACACTGAATAAACACTGCAACGTTACTGACTTGTTTTTCAGTGTCAGTGTTTTTCCAACATTGGTCATCAAGGAGGGGATGCAAACTACGGTGGCCAACGTACTAACACAAATGGCCCTATCTAGAGCCTGTGTTTGGTAAAAAAAAAAAGGAAACAAGGTGACAAAGAGAATCTTATTTTCAGGTGATTATACACTAACAAAAACATACTTATCATAATATATTACATTTCTGCCGATATATCCCACTAAATCCTACACACTGGACCTTTAAATTAAATTATTGCTTAATTGGTTATTTAACTTCTAACATAAACTTTGACTCTGTGTTTAGATCTCATCACAGCTTTTTAAAAGACATTGATTAAGTTTACTTGAACCCTTGCCCTGCTCGGTAAGGCTCAATTTCAGCTTTCACTAAATTCACCTAAAAATACGATAAGTAAGTATAATTGAGTCATCTTGTCTGCACAGGGCTTTGGAGATGCACCTTTTATAATGAGGTGCCATTTGTTAACCTTTATAAATGCAGCACACCTCAGTCAAAGAGACATTCATCAGAAATGATTAAGTGAAAAGTTCAGCTGTAAAAAATAACTTTAAGTGGTGTTAATGGGAAAGTAATGAAACTAAACAAATGTGGGGGAGGAAGAAGTGGTAACTTCTGTGCAGCAGGCAGGGACGGACCGTTTCATGGAGGTTATTGAGCCTGAATGCAGCTCATTTTGCAGATGCATTAGGCCCATTTAAAAACTAACAGGCAGGGAGGCTGCTCTAATTTCTCTCCACTGTAGAGGCCTTTAACAGCCAACAAGGGAAATAAAAGTGACACGAGTCAGTGCCTCAGGGGAGCGCCTCTACTGCTGAGAGGCACTACAAGAGACAAAGTCAGCTCCGACAAAGTTTCTGGTGATGATCTCACACGCACACATGCAGCGATAAACACCTGCAGTACACACGGGGAGGCAGCGTCTGACACTTGCAAAAAACAACTTAACTTTAATGTACGACCTGAAGTTGTGACGTGTCTCTCACTTTGAATTACCTTTGTGCTTAAAAGGTCCCACACAAATAAACTTGCCTTGGCTCTGTATACTTGCTGCAGAAATGTTTTGACAGGTTTGCATAGGCGTAGTCTTTTGTAGGAAACAAAAAAGCTCAACACAAGCTTCACACGTGAGCCGACTGGCTTTCTGTACTAGTTAAAGTCTTAGCCCACCATCGTGTTGCCTTGTGAAGCAGCATCTCAAATTCTTTCACTCAATCACTGCCCAAATCTCATGTTCACCTCCTGACATCTACAGACTCAGCTTACTGAAATTGTTGAACTGTGTCTCTTTCAGTGCAGCTGCTGTTTTGAATATTTGTCACCAGTAATTTGGGTTACAGTTACCTCTTTAACCCTCAGCACCCACTAAACACTCAGTCCTGTTTCTTGTCCAAACTATTTTCGATCATTAGACCAGTACCATTATTTTGGACATACATATTGAAATGTATGTGAACCATGTCAAATATATAAATACATTTTCATGAATCCTTAATTGATGGACTTCCAGACTTCTATGAAGGCAGGAAGACTCCATGTTTTTAAGGTTTCAACTGGATACTCTGACAGCAATATTTTAGATTTTGGGCAAGAATAGGTAAACAACTGGAGCCAGATATACAGTTATAACCGTACACTGTATGAAAGAAGTGGACGTAGCCACCGTGACCACACCCATTGGTTTGTGGACAACCATTTTAAAGCCTTGAGTCTGGCATTGTGGTTGTCGCCATCTTTGTCTTTTGGAGCTTTAAATGACCATCTTTGGATGAGAGGGTGGAGCTGAGGAGGGGCGAGGGGTGGATCTGACTAGGAACCCAAGGGCACGACGCACACCCACCAACTCCAGCAACCTGACTACACCTGGTTACACCATGCGCAGTCGCTGCTAACAAAGCCAGCTTCCATAATTCGAGGTAAATCTTATACCTGAGTGCTAAAGTAATCTTAGTAGCTACTTGCGTAAATGTCCCCATTTGGAGAAACCTTGTAACATTATACACTGAACAAAAATTTTGAGGCCACCAAATTGATACAGACGACTTTCATGAACTGAAAACACACTGTGAAATGTAAAATCAAAACATGGACACCCAAAACAAGCTCACGACTATTTAAATGCACACAGTGCCATGGATACGCATTGCTACGCCTGTATCCTGACTGACAGGTTGCAATGGTGTCAACTTGTCAAGCCACGCCCTAAAGCATACCCTGCTTTATCATCTTTTTTTACTCTGAACGGGACCATAATTTACAACATGAACATCATGCTGTTTTGAAGAAAACTTGAAACCATTGATTGAGAGAGGAAAATGTTTACTGAGGTAACAAATCAAGTAAGAAGAAGGATAATTTTCTCATAGACTTACACACAATCGGATGTCTTTGTGCAACCGGCAGAGTTGCCCCCTGCTGGCCATTAGAAAGAATCCAGGTTTATGACACTTCTGCATTACCTTCACCTTTCAGACCCAGAGGTCTAGTTCGCTCCTTTTTACCCTCTATGGCTATATCCATTTTAATTCTACTGACATGTATTTATTGACCAGGAGAAGCTATAAACCTTAGTCACACCCAGTGGTGAATAGATGTGATGCAGCAAGTCCCTGTGAAACTAAAGTTAGAGCATTTTTAGCTTCTGTAATGATACATTTCCCAGTGAAACAGAATATTTGAGTGGTGTACAGTTACAAGAGGGATTTAAATCAAATCCTTCACTTTTGATTGGACTGCTAAAATGTGGACGGGCTTAGAGTTTAGGGAGACATGGAGCTACAACGACTGTTGACTCCACACACACCTGCTTCGCCATGAGCTCAAGAGGAGGACGAGGAGAGACAAATGAACTAGACCTCTGCCACATTAATGTGGAAATGAAAACAAAGGTTTTGCCCCCTGATATCCAAACACCCATCTCCTCTTAGCTACCCTCATCACCCTGCTAAGTCTTATTTGATTGGATGAACTTTTGTAAGTGCCCCTGGGTAAAAGACGAGTCATCAAACATTTAAAACTGTTTTACTTGGTTTTACATAGAGAGAAAAGATGGGGATTTTGACAAAAAGACTGTTTTTTTATTTTATTTTTTTACATATATTTGGCCTATAACAAGAGATAACTGATCAATTAACACGGGGGAAATGATAAAACATGTCAGACCTTTCTGAATCATGCGTACAGTTGGTTCTAAACTCTGTCCATTGAAACTCTGGTGATCATCTTTATCATTACCTGTAAACACATCACACTAAATTTACCTTAAACTATGAGGAAATTGTGCACTTTATTTTCCTTCTTTTCTTCTGTAGCATTGTCATATTTGTCTCTGTTTGTCTCCCTGTACTTATCTTCTATTTGAATGCATTCACATTCCCTTACCCGGCTCCTCCATGTGGGCTATGATCCAGTTGAAGGCCATCTCGGGGCCCATGTTGCCTGTGTAGTAGACCGCCTTCCTGCAGGCCTCCAGCGGAAAGCCCATCTCCGCCAGCTGCATTACTGCCGCCTCGTCTATTTCTGGAGCTGAGGACACGACAAACCGACATCAATAACTAAAAACATCGCAGTTGCTGATTCAACACCACCAGTAACCTCCCAGTTTAAACAACCAAACAGATCTGCGCTGGCTCTCTCTTTGGGCCTCATTAAACAAAGAGACCGGAGGAGAATCGACCCCGGGGACGTTTCTTTATTGAGGGATGATTTATCAAGGAGAGAAATGAGTGGGGCTGAAACTAGCAGAGCCACGTGGAGAGGGAAAGTTTGTTCAGAAGTAGAGAGCAGCTGCACACTTGCTCAAGTACGCATGGTCCGAGATTCAGCATCCATCATCACTGCTTGGTGCTTAAAATACATTTTCAATCGCTATCACTTATCAAAACGTTCCATATCAATGTACACAGTACTGAGCAACTGAGATCTGTGACAGAGAAATGAAATACTCACAGTCTGAGGAGCCCATGGAGTTATCTGAAAGAGGAAAAGAAACTGATTTCAGGTGAGCTCAAACAATAAGATCATACACTGTCACTGGTTTTCGGGTATTCTTTTGTTTGTATGTGGTTTTATGTAATTCTGAGAAAGTTAATCAATTTACAGAATGAATGAATGACACCATAAAATCAAATAAGCCACGCCCAGAATCCAGCATGCATAATTTCAAACAACAAAACTAAAGAGAAGTGACTAAACCGCCCTTCATAATCAAATCATCACTGAGTAGAACTGAATTCATAAAACACTCTCAGATACATTTCCCATGTAGCACTGAAAATTAAAATAAGCACTAATTAAACAATCTATCTTGCCTTCTTTTCCAGGCTTAAACACACCAAAATTAAACAACCATTCCAGTTTTTGCTCATCTGAGCACCAGAATATAACAGGGTATAGTCGAGCCATTTCACGGAACATTAACTCTCCGAAGTCATCACAGTGTGTACGGTATAAAAGAAAATTGGAGTCACTTTCCTCTTAACCCAAATCACACAGCTCACACTATCTGTTTTCCTCCTGACTATATATTCATTATTATTTTTGAATTGCCCTGTTTGATATGCACATGTCCTGAAAGACACCATGCAGGGTTTTTCTAAAAAAACAAAACAATGTACACACTTATACATAAGTAATTCCTCTCCATCATCACTTACGACCTGCAAGAAGTGTGTGATTGTAAATTTTTCAGCAGAGACTCTGCCCTCTGCCTCTGTTTTATTATTTTCTTTTTATTGTCAGGCAGCACGGTGGGGCAGTGATTAGCGTTGTCACCTCACAGCTGGTTCAAACCCAGGGTGGGGAGCCCTTCTGTGCTGAGTTTGCATGTTCTCCCTGTGTTAGTGTGGGGTTTCTCTGGGTACTCCAGCTTCCTCCCACAGTCCAAAGACGTACAGGTTAATTAGTGACTCTAAATTGTCCGTAGGTGTGAATGTGAGCATGAATGGTTGTCTGTCTCTATGTGTCAGCCCTGATAGTCTAGTGACCTGTCCAAGGTGGTGCCAGACAACGAGCAGCAGGTATCCAAGAGACACAACGCTGAAAAACACAAATATAGTGAGGAGAAACGCCAAACGAGAGTGAGTCTGGGTTTGACTTTTACACTCACTCATAGTACTTTCTTTTTTCCCCCAAATTTCAATCACAGCATATTTTCCTCAATAACTGAGTGAAGCTCTTTTGTCCACTCAAGAGCTGTGCTATTTACTCCACACAAACACATCCTTATTTATTCTGCTCTCTGCCATTTTGATTAGACAGTTCCATAATTGGATCATTTCACATTTTCATTGTACTGATTCTCAATAATCACACTGATCAAATGAACCTAGCCAGAATCTTCCAAAATCTGGTGAGAGGGGCCCCAGGGCAAATCATTAGCTGCTGTGTCCTAATTTACGTCCAATTCTGACTCACTCTTTAAATTCAATACAGTCATGTTTTGCTGCTACAGCCTTGTTTGGTCTGGTACGACCCATAGACTGTGTAAAGTAAACTGCAAATGGAAAATGGACCGCACTTGTATAGCACTTTTCTAGACTTCCAAACACTCATAGCGTTTTTTACACTATGAGTCACATTCACCGATTCACACACACACACATTCACACACTGGTGGCCGAGGCTACCATACATAGTGCCGCCTGCTACTCAGTAACCATTCAGACCCACTCACACACCGATGGAACAGCCATCTTAAGCAATTTGGGGTTCAGTATCTTGCCCAAGGATACTTCGACATGTGGACCGGAGGAGCCGGGGATTGAAGTGGATGACCCGCTCTACCTCCTGAGCCACAATAATAGCCACTGTGACATCACCCATTGGTTCGTGGGCTGCTGTATTGAAGCCTCGAGTTTGCCATTTCTGTTGTTGTCAACTTGGCTTTGTAGAGCCAGAAGTGATATTTGGATGAGAGGGTGGATCTGACTCAAAGACTGCGGTGATACCTCGCAGACAGCCCATCACTGAAGCTGCCCTGCCCTTAAATATGCTTAACATTAAGCCTTAATAAAACATAAATGGCTGAGTTATGTAAAAATTCACCCCCGGTACAGTTGTCATGAATGTTGAAATTAGCTATAGAGACCCAAACTGTTTTTAAACATGTAAACATGTTTATTTCTGCCGTAAAGTTGGCATTTTAACATGGAGGTCTACGGAGATTGGCCCACTTCTGGAGCCAGCCTCAAGTGGCCATTAGAGGAACTGCAGTTTTTGACACTTCTGCATTGGCTTCATTTTTTAGTGCCACAGGCTGCATCTTGGGAAAGTCATTTAGCTTCTGATGGCTAATGTTAACAAACCAGATATTTTTGTAAAATGAACACTGCTGAATCAGTTTGCTGATTTCATGACTGTTCTGCCCTTATGCTGTTGTTATCACTGTCTCATAATCATCACTTGTGGGCACAGGGGCTGCTGTTGTTCAGTCACATTAGGGATGTCACTTTCCAGAGCAGGTCGACTAAAGTAAGATGTAAGAGGGGACTGAAAGACTTTTGGCGAGGAACTTGTCACCACCTGCTGTGAGCAGATTGATCGGCCCCAACTGTTCACAAACACTGCAATCACAACTTGAGCAATTCCTGCTCATATCAAAACACAATAAAATTCCTGCTGAGTCTTTTCTCCAGTTCTTCTTTCACTCTTTCTGTTTTCGTCTTTCTGTCACCAACACCTTACCTGTCAGGTTTACAAAATCAGTTGTAGTTTTAGTTTCATGTCTTTCTCTCCCAGTTTCTCATGTGCTCCTGCCTCTCTTTCATTTAGAAAAACAGATCATTGATTATTTTGAATACCCAGTGGGTATATGGAATTGAAAAATGACTGAGTTTTCCAATTTAATATTGAAGAATACAATTAGATTAGCAAAGAAAGCACAACCAGAAATCAATATCTATATGGTTTGTAATTGTTTTTTAACTGAAAAATGAAATCACAAAAAAAACCCATCAATTCTTTTTGTCTTCCATTTTCTTAATGGTCTGGAATAATTGGGTGAATAGATGACACACGGACCAATGAGAAATAATGTGGTTCAAGCAGCATACAGGAAAACACATTTGTGTGGTGCTGTGTGATCAATGAGAGGCACTGAAGTCTTTTGGAGACAGAAGAGTGACCAGTGATAAATCACTGCTGATGCAGGCCAGTGGTTAATTTGTGACCAACGAAACCCATCATATAATGGTGACATAAATAAATCAGAAGATACATTGAAAACAGCACATTACTCCCTCTGACCTCTTTTCATTTCATAGTTTAAACAGCACGACTGACACACAGCTGGAACTTGTTTTAAAGCCCTGCCAGAAGTCGCCATTGGACAAAACAGGGATTAAAATCACTCCACCGCCTCAAATTTACGACATCCAGAAAACTTTCACGCATCGATTTCACTGTGGCCCCCTGAGATAGCTGCGTATTGCTGCTGTCAGACAAAGATATGCAATGCTGCCTAAGCGAGGTAGTTACAGCTCAAAGAAAGGGTGCTTTAATGAGCGACACTGAAGAGTTTTAAGTAGATACTGCACTCTTTCAAAAAGCCAATTTCATGTGTTTGGAAGTCTGAGATAGCAGGTACAGCACACATTGTTCCGTCCTGAAATATTAAGGCAGTCATGTTCAGACCTCAGTTTTGTCCTCCGACTTTCCGTTCTTAGCGACTCTGTATAGCTCTCCTCCTGAGTCTGTCAATGTGTGAGGCACCGCGAAGGATGCTCACAGAGGTTCCTGTGTCTTTACACTGGACCCCTTTTTGTGTTTGGGGCTTGAGACGGCACAGAACACTTTGTGCTTCATGCCTGCTGAAATATTCAGGAGGACACTGATAACTTGATGTAGCCGAACTTTGCAAACAGCAGAAGGATGGAGGAATAAGAATTACAATCACAGAGACAAAGACAGACAAACAAAAGAAGGGATAATGGAGTTTGGGCCATTAGGAAGCAACCTTATTTTAGTTCACTAACAGTAAACTAAAAACTATGACTAGGTGTGAAAAATCATTTTAACTAACTGATATCTATAATGCCTACATGAACTTCTTAAATCATTCCCCTGACAACTACCCCCTTTATCAAAAAACAAAACTAAAACCTATACTCACTGGTCACTTTATTAGGTACACCAGTTGAACCAGCTGCTCGTTAACGCAAATGGCTGATCCGCCAATCACATGGCAGCAACTCAATGCATTTAGGGATAGACATGGTCAAACCAAGCATCAGAATGGGGAAGAAAGATGATTTAAGTGACTTTGAAAGTGGCATGGTTGTTGGTGCCAGATGGGCTGGTCTGAGTATAAACTTTCACACACAACCATCTCTAGGGTTTACAGAGGATGGTCTGACAAAGAGAAAATATCCAGTGAGCAGCAGTTCTCTGGGTGAAAATGCCTTGTTGATGCCAGAGGTCAGAGGAGAATGGCCAGACTGGTTCAAGATGACAGAAAGGCAACAGTAACTCAAATAACCACTGGTTACAACCAAGGTCTGCAGAAGACCATCTCTGAACCAACAACATGTCCAACCTTGAAGCTACAGCAGCAGAAGACCACACCAGGTGCCACTCCTGTCAGCTAACAACAGGAAACTGAGGCTACAATTCACACAGGCTCACCAAAACTGTACAATAGAAGATTGGCAAAACGTTGCCTGGTCTGATGAGTCTGGATTTCTGCTGCTACATTCAGATGGTAGGGTCAGAATTTGGTGTAAACAACATGAAAGCATGGATCCATCCTGGTGTGGGGATATGTTCTTGGCACACTTTGGGCCCCTTAGTACCAAATGAGCATGGTTTAAACACCACAGCCTACCTGAGTATTGTTGCTGACCGTGTCCATCCCTTTATGACCACAGTGTACCCCACAGAGTTCACTGTACTCCAGTGGCCTCCACAGTCACCAGATCTCAATCCAATAGAGCACCTTTGGGATGTGGTGCAACAGGAGATTGCACAGCCAACAAATAAGCAGCAACTGTGTGATGCTATCATGTCAATATGGACAAAAAATGTTTCGAGCACCTTGTTGAATCTATGCCACCAAGAATTAAGGCAGTTCTGAAGGAAAAAGGGGTCCAACCTGATACCAGCAAGGTGTACCTAATAAAGTGGCCAGTGAGTGTTTTCTGAAACAATAAAAATTAGACTAAAACTAAATATTTTTAAACAATAAAAACAAAACTGAAATGAGCAAACCCTCTCTGAAAAAAAAGTGAGACCAAACTGAATTGAAAACAAAAAATAAAGACAAAACTAAAATAACTGAGAGGCAGACAATTGAACACTTTGTATCTTAAGCTGGAAATATCACTAAGCAAACAGTGTGACACAACAATATTTAAAAAAAAAAAAAAAAAAAAAAAAAAAAAAGATTGACAACAATACTGTTTGTGCTCTAAAACACACTCACTACCTCCTGGCAGGTTATTCCCAGAGCCCAGGGAAGTGCATTACAAGGGGATCTTAAAAAATCATTATAACTTATTAGGCTTAGCCACACTGTGAACACAACAACTTTTCAGTAATTGATTGAGCATGCCTTTCCTGTGGGATTCCATTCAATATGCCCTTAAGAGAAAACTTGGGTGGCTTTGAGCAGAACATCATATTAGAGACAATTTCACGGATCATTTGTCTCTGTCACAAAAATACCCCACACCTCCTGAAAAGGATGTCAGGTAGCAGCTTTGGGACAACACGCATCTGAGTTAGCTCTCAAAGCAACACTGTGGTACCAGTTTATTGGGAACAATCTGATTCTGTCTCATACTGAGGGTGTTTTTAACATCATCTACACTCGTGTATATAATCAGAGTGGACAAAATATGTTCAGCTATGTGGGTAAAAAACAAACAAACAGGTGCTCGGGGGAAACAATGTCCTTTAAAATTAACAAAAGGACTGTGAAGTTGTACATGTAGAGCCAAAAATGCCTCCAGTAGTTAAGAGCCCTGTTTTACATGTTTTCTCCAAGTAGTTACGCATCAATGCAAAAACATCCCTGCAGGACACTGTAGGTGAGTCATGGCAGCTCGTGACCGGGGGATCCTTCTCACTGAATTCTGGGTTAGAAAAATGGAGCACTGTCTGATCTGAAAACAGCAGAATATATCTGAAGCAGCACCAAATGTTTAACAGCAAACACCCAGAAGAAATGAATAAAGAATGAAATGTCAGATAAAAGCTAGGGTAAGCAGTTTTTTTTTTGCGTCAGTGGGTAAAACTTCCACAATAACCTTTGAGCGTCATCCAAATGGTCTGAGACAACACTGGACTTCTGCACCTCTTCTTGGCTCTGTTTTTAGGCTTCAGAAAACCTAGCCATTTTAGAGAGGACGCTCCTATTGGCTGTTCTACAAATGCACATGCACGTCCCTTCAGATGGTGAAAGCCTGATTCAGTGGTGGAGAATCCTGCAGAAAAGGCTGCTATTCCAGCATTGGCAACAACTGCCTACACTGCAAAGCAAGCCCAAAAAATGGAGGATGGACTTATGAAACAAAAGAGTCTAAAAGACAGTCTGACAATGAACAAAATAAAAATACTGGCAACGTGTTTCAGAGATGGAGAGACAACGTTGCTAACAGTTAAGCCTTCTGTTAGCCATAGCTAAAGGCTTACGGCTGCAGCTAATTCAAATTCATGTTTATGTGGTTAGGTAGAGCCTCGAAACACTGATGTCATCTCAGAGGACTTCACATACCCACAAGTCCCATAGAACTGCCGCTAGAGAACGGCAACAGGATCGCAATCACAATCAGGATGACTGAAATGAGTGCTAGTACTTGTACCAGCGTTGCCAGGTGGGAAATGTAGGATTATCGTACCAGAGACTCAAAATTATCGTATTTTGAGGGAAATTATCGTACATCCGTCATAACCAAAATAACAATCCTACTGATGCGCTATAAGTAAATATAGTCACTCTAGTGTTACTAGTAGTAGTACATAGTTAGTGTTACTTTTTTGGTTTACTTTTTTCCCATTTTCCTTGCTTCTGTTTTTCCTCTTCTTCTGTTTTGAATCTCATTCTCACTCGACCTCCTGACGGGTCCTAGCATCTCGTGGGGCGGGTACAGCTGACCATTCAGCCAATCGTGCTCATTTTTCAGAGACAAACATCACTCGTACCTCACGCTAAGCAAAGTGCGATTGGCTGGAAACATGTCACATGGGAACAAATACCTTCAGGGCTCACAAAAAAACTCTGGCATACTGATTACAACAACACATTTATGAAATGGTCAAATTATCATATATTAGGCTTTTTTTGGGATTATTGATCGTACATCGTACAGAGGGCCAAATTATCGTACATATACGATAATTATCGTACACCTGGCAACGCTGACTTGACTGAAGTGCGTGCATATGCCTGTGCTTGTCTGGTGGGAGGGGCTTAGGACAGAGAGGGGAGAGCTGCAGGAAGTAGGCCGGTTTTAGCCTTTTCCAGACAAATGCCTACCCCAAGGGGCGTCGGTGGCTTAGTGGATAGAGCAGGCACCCCATGTTAATTATTATTAACATGGGGTGCCTGCTCTATCTATCTATCTATCTATCTATCTATCTATCTATCTATCTATTAATTTTTTTTTTTTAAATGCCTACCCCAACTTTAAAGGGGAAAAAAAATCTTTACATTATTGTAGTTGTAATCACAGTGCACGCCTTGTTGAACGCAACCCCAAACTCTGGGACCAGTTGCTAAAAACACCTTAAGTGTTCTCCATGAGTATGACACTAATGGCTTAATTTCTCCTTAGCTGAGGGTCTTACACAGTTGCACAGAATTCCTTAAAAGGCTTCCTTTGTTAAGGAAAAACATTAACTCACTTACTGCATTGAGAGAGATTTACAGCAGTAAAAGTTTCCATGGAAATTGTTTGTTTGCTTGGACTCACTCTTGTGATGCCTGTTATCATCTCACAAATGTAACTTATAGTTAGATAGTAAAAAGAATGGCAGAAGAAAAGAAGACAAGAAAATCATGTTGGTCTGAGGAGGAAAAGCTTATACCTCTGGAGGTATCAACAATCACAGAAAGCACAAACTACAAATTAAATTGGATCCCAAATACCAGAGAACAGAAACAATTGTAGGCAAAACGAAAATTAATTCAGTCAAAATCTTAAGTGTAAAATCAAAAGTGTATCCACTGGGTTCTCCTGGTCGCAGAACACTCTTCTTGTGGTGTGTTGTTTATTTTCATTTATCACCATAAATTAAGTCATGTTGCAGTTAAGACAAAGTCAGAGGAACATGCTTTTTTTGGCTTGCTTTGGTCACTAACGTCTTTTGTGCAACAGTCTCTGAATTCCTTATGTATAACACCAAGACAAGGACAAAACCTTAAATACTGCTGTAGTTATCCGTATTGTATCACACTGTCATGTTCAGTTTTGATGCCCGTGTGGAGGTTTGATGTGGTCAACTGATAATACATGCCGACATAAAGCAAGTAGGCTTTGTAGCTTACAGCCATAAATGTTTCTTTACAACAAGAGTCACGGTCACCTTCTCTTTGATGCATGTGCACCCCCCTCCCTGGTAAAATGGATGTTCTGTACCTCTGGTGTCTTCCGGTAGCACGATGGGAGGCATAAGGTCAGGCAGCTCCTCTTCACTCGCCTGCAGCCCAGAGGCTCTCAGCCTGCTCAGATCCAAGAAGTCTGGAACGTCTATGGCCAAGTCTGTACAGGAATACACAGATGTAACACTTAACTGATGCACCGACATGAATGGTGATCAGAGGAGCCTGTGTATGTCTCCTGAAGGTGGTTCCAAAAGCATCTCAGCCCATAGACTTACAATGGGAGAGTGATGAGTCCAAATAAGTATCTTTATATCCTGTTTAAAACCTTAAGACACATATTTATACATTATTCTTATATTAATGGTTTGTTTGTCATTTTTTTCATCAAATCATTGAAGGTTATTTTATTTTGATGCATAATTTTGATTGTTTTTTTTTTTTAAGTTTAAACACCGCTCACAGTTCCCACTGAGGAGTAAAAACATAAATAGGAGAAACTTGACCACATGACAAGAAAGGATTCAGGCCCATCAAGGAACTGATAATCTCTACTGTTGAGAGGAGATAAATGGTTCCCCTGATGCAGCATAACTCAAGTCTCTGCTGGCTGTTTGTGTGACACTCCACCCACAAAACACATCTGTGACTGTGACATAAAACTCCCAAACGTAATACTAAAGATCATGATCTATAAATAGCAGTTTACACAACTGACCTATGATGCAGCCGTATCTCATTAGTGAAAACTGCACAGAGCTCAACACTTCAAACCCTGAAGTTTATTGGCAAAGCGATGAAGGTGAACTGAGAGTTTTTGCAATTTAAAAAGCTGCAAGTCATTTGAATTCAGTGAAAATTAACTCGCTGTCCAGATAAATTTAAAACTCCAGCGGCTCTTTATAGAAATGGACAGGATGAGAGAAGGGGAAGTTTACATCTATGTGTACAAAATTGCAGGTGAAGCAATTCATGTGTATACAAAAGTCTACAGTTTGATCCTCTACTGTACGAGCCTGTGCCCTCACCATCAAACTGCTGTGTGATGGTGCCCTCTGCTGGACAGTTACAGCACTACAAATGCTTGGTAGACCAAGACATTTTATATCCCCAGATGAAGGCTGACAGATAGTTACCTAGCTTCTTCGGCACCCAGTCGACCCCAAAAGTGAATTTCTTGATCTGCACAATCAGATACTCTGGGAAGGAGGCAAAACGAGAGGTCCTGCAGAGGAACACAACAAGGAACTCAAATTTTATAAATACAACTGGTTTTGAATTAAAGTTTTGAGGTGATGAGAAAACAGTGAGGTGTAGAGAAGTCATTCCAGGTCCTTTGCTTACTTGACTCCAGCTGACTTGGCCTGCAGCGCTGAGCTCCAGAAGTCTGGGACGTTCTCCGGCTCTGTGAAGGCCTGCAGGCAGGCTGTGAAGGGGATCCGTGCTCTGACCGGCTCAGGGGGAGCCCGCATGTTCTCCTCAGCGTCCCTCCGCTTGGCCTCGTATGCCAGCAGCTCCTCTGGTAGAGTGACAACAAAGACTTTGAGCTGAGCATACACTGGGAGACTTTGAAATGACTTTGAAAAGACTTCTAAAAGTCTGGTATCTTCTCAACATCTAAAGAAAATGTGAAGTTTTAGTTACACACTTTTAGATTTTTGCAATAAACTTGGGATCTTACAGGGTCACTATTTAAACTACAGCTAGATTCTTTTTGATATTATTTCCCTTCCTGCTCCTGGTGAAAAATATTACGCCAAACTCCCTTTAGGAAATATAACATTTTGACAATTCCTTACATGTCTGCAAAAAAAAAAAACATGACTGTAGAAACATGACATAAAAGGCCTTATACAGCAACAGTATTCTTGTCAATTCGGCATCAATATTATCTATAAAGATAAAATGTATTTGCATAGAAACTTTACATTTTGGATTTTGTTTCCTTAACGTGCCACCAGCCTCTGTTGGTTACCTGTGCTATTTTAAACTGAAACTGCGTGACTGAGCGGCTGTATTTTCCATTGAAATACATGCCAGTTAGTGGATCAGATACGCGCCAATATTAAAACATACTCTTGTTGATTCTACTCTTCCAGTTTCTCCTCCCTTTTCACAGTACAAGAGAACTGAGACTTCTTTGCCTCCCCAGAGTCCCTTCAGTGTTGACTGTCTACTTAGATTTTTTTTGGGGTGCTGCAGAGAGCGCAGCTGTTCTTCACTTTTTGCATGAGCCAAGACTAAAAACTTACTGTCATATTAAATGGGTTCGACTTTGTGGGAGTTTTGAGACGAGAAAGACGAACTTAAGACAGCTCAGACTGAGTTTTATGACCACCTTACACCAAACAACAAAGATCACTGAGGTAAATCTCTCATGATTTTATTTCAACATTGGAAATTTGTCTGCAAAAGTAAAATTCCTTGAAAAAGTCCTTTGGTGTGAAGATGGCATAAGTGTTAACATCTGCAAAACTCCATAATATTCAGTATTTTGAAATTCAAATTTAAGTAAAAACAAGGGGAATACAAGGTGCACTTTAATAGCAGTTAAAGATTTAAGGTGCTTTTAAGGGATTAAAGATGGCTGCTGACAGATTGACAGCATCCACACTGCATCAGACAACGACTATCATCTTTACGGGGGTCACATTTGTCTAAAGTAGTTATACAAGACCATAAAGAGTCATTTTTGGAGACAAACATGTCCTCCCTCACTCTAAACTACTCAGCCCCCAGTCTGGCAAGCCAGGACCTTCTGTGCCCTTTCAGAGAGCGACCTGCTGATTCTCCCAGCAGCTGGTGCCACCTGAGCTCAGCGTCGTGCCAGCTGTACCGACCAGAGGCAGCTGCGGCTTCCTGCTGCAGCACAACATTGTGTGTGTATGTGTGTGCATGTGTATGGGGGGTCTTTTACCTCGATTGGTGGCCGCCTCGATGGGAGCTGGCAGCTGGATGCAGTAGTCCACCCGCTGAGTGTAACGAACCCGGCGTGTCTGACAGCACTGAACTCGCTCCTCCACCAGGAAGCGGAAGACGTCGCTTGGATTCTCCGAGCCTGTGCTGTTCCTCTGTAAGACAACAATGTACAGGGAAGATGAGAGGGTGAATGTGAATATCAACAACAAAATCAGTCAACGGCATGAGGCACACATTTTAGTTTGATAACAGATATGGACCAGTGATGTGGTCCTGCGATAAAAAAAATGATTGTGGGTCTATATAATGTGCCTGACCATATGATCCTTGAGGTGTGACGTTTCCCTGTCTCTCTCAACGTTTTGTTTAGTTAGATCAGTGGTTCCCAACATTTTTCCTTCAGGGACCCAATTTCTATCATTTAATAAACTGACAACCCCTGACATTTTAGTGATAATTCACATAATATTTAATGCATAATAATTATAACAGTACAGACGTTTGTGGAAAACAAGCTGTTTATATGAATTTGGAGCAAATGGCCTGAGGAACATGACAAAGCGCTCAAGGCATTGACTTGGCTTCCAAATTCCCCAGTTCCCAATTCGACTGAGCATCTGTGGGATGTGCCAATACCCCAGACGTACCGCCCATCCACAGTGGGGCCTCTACAGATTGGACATAGCTCTGGCATATCAAGGTAGGGACACAGGAAGTCACAGGAAGTCCCGGTTGTGTCTGGCACCAGGGTCTCAACGGCAGATCCCTTGAGTCCTGTGGGTTGCGAGATGATGTACCAGCATATCCCAAGGACGCTTGAATGGATTTGGATCTGGGTTCGAAGCCCCCAGCCCAGGTTCAAACCATATATA